AACTTCCTTAAAAACTAAAAATAGACTTACCACATGATCCAGCAATCCTGCTCCTGGGCATATATCCAGAGAAAACTCTAATTCAAAAAGACACATGCACCCCAATGTTCACAGCAGCACTATTTACTATAGCTAAGACATGGAAACAACCCAAATGTCCATCAACAGATGGCTGGATAAAGAAGCTGTGGTATATTTATACAATGGAATACTATTTGGCCATAAAAAGGAATGAAATAATGCCATTTGCAGCAACATGGGTGAAACTGGAGAATCTCCTCCTAAGTGAAATAAGTCAGAAAGAGAAAGAAAAATACCATATGATATTGCTTATATGTGGAATCTAAAAAACAAACAACAAAAAGACAAACAAACTAATTTACAAAACAGAAACAGACTCACAGACATAAAAAACAAACTTATGGTTACCAGGGCAGGAAGAGGGTGGGAAGGTGTAAATTGGGAGTTTGAGATTTGCCGTCACTAATATAGATAAAATAGATAAACAACAAGTTTATACTGTATAGCACAGGGAACCATATTCGATATCTTGTAACCTGTGGTGAAAAAGAATATGAGAACAAAACTATGTATGTTCCTATGTGACTGAAGAACTGTGCTGTGTGCCAGAAACTGACACGATATTGTAAACTGGCTGTACTTCAATGAAAATATATTACAAAAAATTCAATAAACAACAAAAAAATTAAACACATAAAACTGCAAAAATTAATATGTATCTTATTCAATTATATATTAATTCTATTATGGCAATGTGACATATAATTAATATGGAATCCATCATTTATGCCTGCAGTTGCAGAACTATCAGTGTGAGTTTAATACTCCTCAGAGCAGCTCTCTCTGAAAACTGGAAATGCCACCCGGTGGCGCTGTTATGAACTGGAAGTGGCCTCCTTGATCTTTTTACAGCTTAAGTCATTTGCCCCAATTTTCCAATACAGGGCATTTTAGCTGAAGGGTGGTAGGAAAGGGGAAGTGTTTAAAGAATGAGGAAATAAAACTATATAATTAACTGTGTATTATACTTGCTTCAAATTTTTTCTAGTGATGTTTACTCATTCATAATTCTAGACACAAAAACCCTTTAAAGAGTAAGATGAATAGAGACGATATTTGCCCTAATGGTTAGGGGATCATCAAAGTTGCCTTTTTTCAAGTCTTAGGAACCCCTGGACACAGAGGGCAGTAAACGCTGAGTGATCCAGTCATCACTTTTCTAGAACACTGCATTGTCTCTAAGAACTCTGACAGTGATGGTAGGTTAAAAAAACTTATTAAAAGAAAAGGTTTTAGTGAGGAAGCTATTCCTAAACCTTCAGACATAGAAAATTGCTGAAGATGCTACCTGACTCCCCCTTGGGTCTGGAAGCTTTGGTGCAGAAATTGGCTCTTCACCTTGAACAGGGCCTGCCTGAAGCAGTCCTTCGTAGGCACCTGCTTTTCAGGGGCAAGAAAGTAGTTCCCCAGCTGGCGATTGGGGCTGCTGCTACCCCTGCTCCAGCTACTACTCTCCTTTTTCAGGGGCTGACCCTGTGCCCAACAGGGCCTATGGAATAGATGTGAGAGTCCACATTTGACAGAAATGCCATCAACAGTCAGAGGGATTAAGGAATTGGCCAGAGGTAAGTTTCGGTTTCCATGCGTAAGGGGCAATAAGCTCTGGATGCCAGAATCAGGGATTAAACCAGGTCCCTGCTCTGCAGTAGGACTCAGATAACATCTGGGGGTTAAAGAGAAGGGGGCATAGTGCACTGGGCCCTTGAACTATGAAGTTGTTCTTGTCTGGCTCCAGGACTCTCAAGGACAAACTGCTGGCTTGCCGAACCCCCAATCTCAGTCCAGAGCCCTCTTTCTCTGCGGCTCAATCTGCCTTCATCACAGACTGAAACGCCTTGTGTCTTCGAGCCCAGTTGGAGGGGAAACTCCATCCACAATACAGCCCGCCTGGTGGGGCTGTGGCAGCACAAGCCCACGGATTCTCCCTCAAAGACAACAAACAGGATTGAAAGAATCAAAAAGTTTAAATGTTCCTTACCTGAGATTAGGAAAAGGAGGGCAGGCAGAGTGAGGTGACTGAAGGCTTTCATTCTCGATGTTCTTGCTGGGTAATCCGGGGAGAAAATGACTTCCCTCCCACTGTCTTTCCTTTTAACTCTCTCTCAGGTTCAAAGTCCAATCATTAACTGATGTCAATCCAGTCAAAGGCAATTACCAGTTAGGGTTTGGTCATACAGCATAGGTCTCTCCTGAGCTTTTAAGATCAAGGAGGTGAACCTGGCCTTACAGATTATTTTTCTGTCTCATGGTGGAGGATAACTCAGGACAGTCCAAACATCCTTGGAAATTTAGAAGGTGGGAGGTAGAGGGAAGTTAATATTCTTATATTCCAAATTTCCCCAAACTACCATCTTTTAGGAGGTGACAATTCCTTTAAACACCCAGTTATGTAGTTTCACTCACTCCATTTGAGTGCGGGGAATCCAGTTTCCTCCAGCTGTAGATCTGAGAACCCCTGAGGGGTGCTTAGTGTTTCCTCAACTGCTTGTTGCTTAGCTTTTGTCACCTTTCGCTGTGGACACCACTGGGCCTCTCTGATGGTCACTTCCAGCGACTCTGTCATCATGCCTCCAAGCATCCATGGTTCTCCACATATCTCTGTACCTGGACTCGGTCCCCATTAATGCCCTCAAAAGCAGTTAATATCAAATTGTAGCATTTACCCTAACTGGCCTGAAAGCTCGTGGGTGACAGGTCAAGGAAGGGAAAATACAGTGCAGACAGGGAAAGACTTAAAACAGATAACTGATCTCTTCACTTCTGGTCATTCACTGGAATGTCCCCCTCCCAGGTCCTCTGCTCACCTCTCAATCCCCAGCCCCTGGCCTCTCACCACGTTTCAGGAAGCAGCTTTATCACCTAGAGGAGGATCTTCTCTATCCACTCCTCCCTCTTAAAACCCAGGTCCCCAATCCCCTGCATTTAGCCCCAGGAAGAGGATGCAGCCAATAACACCTTGTGAGTGTTAGCCAGAGCTTTAAGTCTGACCTTAGCAAAACTGAAAAATTTTATGTTATTTCACAGCAGAGGAGTTCCCTGTTGTACCAAAAGTCTCTATTCAGGAATAGGTTTGGGGGTTTGCTCGTATATAGCTGAGAAGCAACTTCAATCTTTGTCCGAGCAAAGACACCTCTCAGGCCCATGTGTATTGCTCTTATTCTCAGCCTGAACGATTCCTGGCACCAGGAGTTAAACAAAGCCTTAAAGTCCTTTTCTCTTTTCTTTTTAACCTCACTTTATCAAGGTAGATGTAATTTACTTCAATACATGAATTTATAGAAAGTGTAAAATTCAGTGAGTTACGATGGATGTATATACATGTGAAATCACCATTACAGTCAAGATACAGAACATTTCCATCACATCCAAAAGTTTCCTCTTGCCTATTTGCAGTCCATTCTTTCCTCCTTGTCCAACCGCAGGCAACCACTGATCTGCATTCTGTCACTGGAGGTCAGTTTGCTTCTTCCAGAATTGTGTGTAAATTGAGTCATGTAGCATGCACTGTTTCATGTCCGGCTGTGCTCCCTCAGCAAGCTGACTGTGAAATCCATCCACATTGCTGTGCACCACTTCTTCCTCTTTCCCGCTCCCTTCCTTCCTTCCTTTCTTTTAGAAGTTCATGGAGGTATAATTTATGTACACTGCACATATTTAAAGCTTCAACGTGTGCTCACCCAAGAAACCATTAACATAATCGAGATCTGAAACATTTTCATAATTCCCAAAAGTGCTCTGGTGTTCATCCTTCCCACACCTCCAGTCAGAGGTGACCACTGATCTGCTTTCTGTCACTATAGATTCGCTTGCACTTCCCAGAATTTTATATAAATGGAGTCATCCAGATGGGGGTTTGGGGGGTTATTTTTTGGTCAGGCTTCTTTGACTTAGCATCATTATTTTGAGTCATCTATGTTGTTGTGCATATTAATAGTTTGTTTTTTCTTATTCTTGAACAGTATTCCACTGTATAGTTGTGCTAGACATACCATGGCTTGTTTGTTCATCTGTTGATAAATATTTGGATCATTTCCAGATTTTAATTTTTACAAATAAAAGTGCCGTGAATATTCCTGTACAAGTCTTTGTGTGGACATATACTTTTATTTCTCTTGGGTAAATAGTTACCTATGGAATGGCTGCATTATATGGTATGAATATGTTTCACTTTTAACAGACTCTCAAACTGTCTTCGAAAGTTGGACTATTTTATATTCCCATCAACGATATATGAGTTCCAGTTGCTACCAATCCATGCCAACACCTGGCTATTATCAGTCTGTATAATATAAACCATTCTATGGGAATGTACTTTGGTGCAGCCATTATGGAAAACAGTATGGTGATTTCTCAAAAAACTAAAAACAGACTTACCATATGATCCAGCAATCCCACGCCTGGGCATATAACCTGAGGGTACTCTAATGTGAAAAGATATGTGTTCATAGCAGCACCCCCTGTGTTCACAGTAGCACTATATACAATAGCCAAGACATGGAAACAATCTAATTGTTCATCGACAGATGACTGGATAAAGAAGTTGTGGGCTTGGGAGAAGCAAGATGGCGGAGTAGAAGGACGCTTGTAGCTCACCCTCTCCCACAAATACACCAAAACTCACATCTATGGACCCACTCAGCCAACCAGAGCCAGCCAACCTGCTGAACTCTGACAGAACATTGCCCTCTTCAAAAGACAAAGACGCCAAAAATCTGGTAGGAGAAAAGGAAAAAAGAAAGAAGAAAAAGCAAAGCAGTGCAGGACTGGTCCTGCGGAAAGGGAGTGGCAAAGCAGGACTAGCACTTGTTCTCTGGGTCTCCCCCTCTCAAAGGAGAGGCCAGCAGGATGGAGGGGGAGCCTCTGAGGCTCAGATCTGCCTGGAGCACCCCTTGACTCACAGAACTAAGTTAAAGGAGCACAAAGGGTCCCAGCGTCATCCAGCCCGAGATGCGAGCCAGCAGCTGGGGCTAGGCCAGGCTGCCTGAGCTGGACAGAGGACTGGGGTGGCTGCACTAGGTAGCCCCAGGGGACTGCAGGGTGCTGTGCACCCTGGCTGGGAGGGGATATGGAGCAGAACAACCTCGGTCTCCCATAAATTGAGAAAAAACCAAAGCAACACAGCTGGTGTGCCCTGGGGGCAGGGGTGCGTAGCCTTTGTCTCCTCAGACCCGCAGTGCCATTATTGGAGCTTCTCACGAGAAGACACTGAGGGTGCAGCCACAGCCACCATATCCCCCTGTGCGCAGTGCCTGGGCAGGGGCAGGGCCGAGACCTGAATCCACACCCGGGGGGCTCTGCAACCTCCTAGGCAGGACTGAGACTTGTTTACAGCCCACGGCAGATAGGCTCTTTCTGCCCTGGCACCTCAGAGAACTCACAGCACCAAGACAAACAAGGAGCTGAGATTTGGCATGGAGCAGGGGCAGGGTGGTTCCATGGTCTTCCCTGAGCCCACCTTCAGAGTGCTGACCCAAGGCAGAGTGGGCAGCTGCTCAGAGCAGTGGAGCGATTGGAGCTGGGAGAGGGCAGGTGGCCACCCGCCTTCCTGGCAGTAATGCAGCACCTGACTACGGTGCTGGGAGGGGGCATGATCCACCCACCTGCCTCACCTGAGTTCAGCATCTGACTGCAACATCGGGATGGGGAGTGACCTGCCTGCCCACCCACTGGTGCCAGAGAGATATGAGCAATATGAAGAAGCAGAGGAACCACTCCCAATTAAAAGATCAAGAGAAATCCCCTGAAAGCACGATCAAGGAAATAGATATTGATGGCCTACTAGATCAAGATTTCAAAAAAGGACTGATCAAAGTACTGAAGGAACTAAAAGAAAGTGTTTAG